CTTCCTTTTTAATTTCCATGAAAAGAAAATAATCCATCTAATTTAATTAAAAAGATAGGTTGGTTATTTATTATTAAAGTTTGGTACACTCTTCCTACTCGTTTCCTATTGTAATATTTTGTCAGAAGATTTTATGATCAATTGATTTGCATTAATACATTTGGAATTTAACTCCAACATGCATTCACTGCCATAGAAAGCAATCCTAGCGTTTTAGCACCTTTTATGTCAGGAGGCGCTGGACATCCAAATTAATCCAAATGGACATCCCAAGGCGCTGGACAGTCAAGGATCCACACCCAAGCTGGTGGTTGGGATCAGGAGGTGTGGAGAGCAGGGAGGGTAGAGGTAGGAGGGTGACGGAAGGCACTGTCGAAGAGGAGGATCTTATATTGACCTTGTATGACGCAAGGGAGGGGGCAAGGCGCTGGGCCTGTGAGATGGAGTTCCAGAGGATGGGCGCAGAGAGAATGAAGGCTCACCCACCAATAATGGGGCAGGCAAGGTGAGGGATATGAAGCAGGCCGAAGCCCGCTGAGCATAGGGAACAGACAGGTTGGTAGGGGGTTAGGAGGTCACAGAGATAGGGAGGAGCAAGGCCGTGAAGGTCTTTGAAGGTGAGGACCAGGAACTTGAACTGTATCCTCGAGTGATGGGGAGCCAGTGGATGGGAGTGATAAGGTCGTGCTTGGTGCGGGAGAGGACACGGGCTGCAGAGTTCTGGATGATCTGCAGCCTGTGGAGGGAGGAGTTGGGAGTTTGCATAGTCAAGCCTGGATGTGATGAATGAGTGGATGAGAGTCTCGGCAGCCTGCGGTGAGAGACAGTGGTGGAGCCAGGCAATGTTGCAGAGGTAGGGAAAGACATGGTGCGGATGCGGGGGATGAAGGACAGTTGAGGGTCAAACAGGACGCCGAGGTTCCATATTAGCTACGTGAGGTGTAGAGTGCCAATAGTGTGGAATATATGACTCATTGGCTTTGAAAAGTTTTTCCAAAAAATCTCTATTAAAGGCCAATTATCAAACCTGAAAGAATCCAAATGTAAAACAACATAACGCTTAATTTTAAAAGAATTTCTTTTAAAATTATGCGTTATGTTGTTTTACATTTCTTTCACTGGAAGATATTCTACAAGAGCAATACCATTATGAAGCTTACTTTTGTGGCAGTACTAACATTAGACTCCAATATAGCATGACCTAATATTAAACAAATTGCAGATAAGATGCTACCACCTTGTGGTCTATCCCTCTATCTGCTACATCAATATTAAACAAATATGCATTCAATGCAATATACTGTATTACAATTATATATTATTAGCATTCAGAAAATCCCAGTCACGCACAAAAGCGGACATTTTATCTTGTTTATTTAACTAAATTAAATTGTATACTCAATTGTAAAGATACTAAAATCTGAAGGATGACACCTCCAACAATGCAGCACTCCCACAGCACTGCACCCGAGCCCAACCTGAACTCGGGTGCAACAGTGACACTATGAGGTAGACAAACGTAACAAGCCACTAAAATGCAGCCTGTGTTGGTTATGCGTTTGTATGGAGAATTCTAATTTTCCTTTGCGTTCTTTGCACACTATTAATAAGACATTAAACATTCAAATCAGTGCCATGCCCATTTTGGCTTTGGTTTGGCCATCAATAAAATCAGCAGCCAGTTTACAAGAACTAAAGAAAACTACTCTCTCTAATAATCTACACAAGTCTATCTGTTATTAGGTCCTCTCCATGTCTCCAAGCTTTTTCAACCCTCTTAACATTTCTAAGGTCTGTTTCTCCACCCCCATTCCATATTACATCTCCAAAATCCCTCCTTGAAGCAATGTATTGGAGATCTTTCTCTGCCCTATCTATGCCTCCAAGTACCCTAACACATGTGACAAGAAATTGTTCTTATGGCATTAATACACACCCTTATTTTACAAGTCATAAATGTTTGCTCAACACTGTTATACGCAAAAGACAGAACAAATGCTGATTTAAGGAGCAGACTTGCATAAAACAGGAATGCTTACCAGCATTGACAAAATCAATAACAAATTGGAACTTGTTTTTCATCAAATTTACCAAAATATATGGTGAAATAGTTGGCTGTCTTTTTCTAAAAATGTACCCTTTGTTAATGCCTACATTTTTGAAGGATTGAAAATAATCCTAGGATTTTCTTTATGTAGAAATTCATACTGACTCAGAGATGACTTTTCTGACAGAAATCTGAGGATTACATCCCTTCCCATCTCAGCACGTAGGCCAACTTTTGCTAAACCTATTAGCAGAAGCCAACCTCTCCTGGTGAAAATGGGAGAAATTGTTGCCATTAACTTTTAATTAACACAAGACAATGTCGCTTTACTCGTTGTTTTGGTCAGCCAGGTGTTTTCCACATGCAGAAACCTATGCTTAAAGACTATCCAATTGAGATACAGTTGAATGCACCCCATCAACACACTGAAATTTCCATGTATTGGAATATAATGCATACTCTCCTCCCCAGAGGGACCCATCCTATTTACCTAATTCCAGAGTATTAAGGGTGGAACTACTGCCTGCAGCTCGTGTACTGTCCCGCATCAGGCTTCGTGACCACATCACTCCCGCCTTCGCTCGCCTCCACTGGCTCCACATCCCCCAGAGGATCGAATTCAAGATCCTCATCCTCACCTACAAGGCCATTCACGGCCTTGCTCCCTCCTACCTCTCCAACCTACTATCCCCCTACCTACCTGCCGTACCCTCCGTTCCTCTGGCTCTGGTCTGCTCCACATCCCCCGTCCGAACCGCCCTACCATCGGTGGCCGGGCCTTCAGCCTCTCAGCCCCGAGGCTCTGGAACTCCATCCCCAGTGCCTTCGCCGCTTCCTCCCTTTCCTCCTTCAAGGCCGGTCTCAAGACCTTTCTCTTCGACCATGCCTTCAGCTCCCCTCTCGACTCTCTACCCCCTCCTCGCTCCCTCCCTTCCCTCCCCTCACCTTGACCATTTCCCCCCTGCTTGGGTCCCGACCCAACTGTCCAGCGCCTTGGGACGTCCTCCCGAAGTGAAAGGCGCTCTATAAATCAAATCTTGGTGTTGTTGTAGTTCCTGGGTTCATCCTTCTGCCATTTTTGTACTGGGAAGTAACATTTGCAACCCCACAGTCCTCTGGCACCACCCCAGTGTCCAAGGAGGATTGAAAGATTGTGGCCAGAGCCTCCGCTATTTCCACTCTTACTTCCCTCAGTTACCTAAGATGCATCCTGTCCGGACCGGGTGACATATCTACCTTGAGCACCGACAACCTTTTTAGTACATCCTCTTGGTTTATTTGTATCTTATCCAAGTTCTTTACCCTCTTCTTCGAAACTGTGGCATTAGCTCCATTCATTTCTTTTGTGAAGACAGATGCAAAGTACTCATTCAGTACGACAGCCATGTCCTCTGCCTCCACAAGATGTCCTCTTTGGTCCCTAATTGGACCCACCCTACCTTCGACTAACCTTTTATTCTTTACATGCTTATAAAATACCTTAGGGTTCCCTTTTATGTTACCCACTAATCTTTTCTCATACAATCTCTCTGCCCCCACCCCTTATTTCCTTTTTCAGTTAATGTTAATATGTAGAAATACATAAATAGATGGGACCGGGATATTAACATGAAGACTTAAGTGGTAGTTTCAAGTTAAGACCGGAGTTATCAGGAGTTTACTGTGTATATATATATATATATGAAATATTACTAACCGTCGCAAATCTACACAAAATTGCTGCAAAGGATACGACAGGGGCACAAGAACCCGCAACCCACCCAAACAATTTGCCCACGAACACACCACAGTCACAGCACTCCACGGAAAAACCCCGCAAAGCGCTTTGAGGCGTCTTGACGAAACGATAAGGCGCTGTATCAGACGCAAGGCTTCTTAATATTATTATTATTATTATTATTATTGTAATTGCTCGGTGAGTCCGCGTTTAACAGCCAATAAAAAACATAAAGGGATCAAATCTCTGGTGGAGGAGGCAAACTCGGGCCCCCACCCCACCCCACCCCACCTCCCGACAAGAAACAACCGCCTGAGCTGCAGGTGGACCGTTTTCCAGAAGGTTCCAGACACTTCTTTCTGGAGGGGAGACCTCCTCTCCTGGATGTCGTGTGGGAGGGGGCGGGGAGGTGGTCGAACAAAGCCTCGGTAAGCTGAGCAGGTTTGGTCGATAAAATACAAGGAGTTTAGGTGAAAACATCACAAAGCGGGGGGGGGAGGGAGGGAGGGCGCTTTTTTTTTGGTGGGAAATTGCCTTTTGTTTCGGTCTCCATCGCCGACTCCGACAAAACCGACAAGTCACGGATGGCGGCTCCCGCCGCCTCAGTCCCGGCGCCAGCGCCGAACGCATGCATGCCGGGAGTTGTAGTTGACGCCTCAAAGGCATCGGTTCAGCAATGCGGAGCGCAGGAACTCTAACTCCCAGCAACGCAGGCGGCTCCCCAGCCTAACGCATGCCGGGAGTTGCAGTTGGCGCCGAAAGAGGAGGCACTCTAATGCCCGGCAGCGCGTGTGTGGCTGCACCTGTCGTCGCGGGCGCCTTGACTGCCTGTCAGTCTGTCTGTCTGCCTGCCTGCAGCGCGCGAGGCATGCCGGGAGTTGCAGTCCCCTCGGGGTTAATGGGCCGCCGACCCGCTTTGCCGGGGCCAGTCCAGGGCTGGAGGGACTGACTACAACTCCCAGCGACGCTTGCGACGGCCCGGCTGGCTGGAGTGGTGGAGAGTCGGGCTGGCGCTTGCGAATGGCTGCGGCTGATGCGCGCTCGGACTGCGGGGGGAGAACGGCAGTTGGTTGGATGGTGGGAGGGAGGGTAAAAAAAGAAGAGGGGAGCGTCCTTCTCGGCTGCGGCACCAGCGGCGACCCTTTTCTCTCATTGTTTTAGTGTTTTCCTGGTACCGTTTTCTTTCAACTTTTTTTTCTCTCTGCCTGAGGAGGAGGAGGAGGAGGGCTGAGGGGGGGGGGGGGGCGGGAGGAAATGGGAAAGTTAGACGAGATCGTCCGCATTGCCAAAAAGATGGATAAGATGGTGTCAAAGAAAAACACGGTGGGTAGAGGTGCCGAGGCGGGCGGACGGACGGACGGACGGGCGGGTTGGTGGGCGGGCGGGCGGTTTGTTGTCATGATGGTGATGATGATGGTGGTGATGATGATGGTGGTGATGGTGGCTGAGGGAAAGCGGCCTGAAGGCTGTCAGGATTGTTGTTGGTTGGGTCTGGGTGGGGGTTTGGGGGGGATGGGGGGAAAATAGTCAGGCCCTGACAACCAGCCCCCCCACACACACCCCACCCCACCCCCACCCCACACACCCCACATACACGTACATACACACGGAAACAAATAAGAGGATGAATCAGAATGGACTGCAGATTATTTCAGACGAATAATCGATTTTTTTAAAAAAATCAAACCCGAGGGAGTTCCAGCGGCAGCGGATGGCTCCAAAAACATCATTGTAAAAAGATGGCTTTTTGGGGAGGGGGCTATCGGGCACATGTTCAGTCAATTCACTTGGCAGCATATTCTGCGAAGCGCTTCGAGTCGTCTCGGAAGACGTGGTACGTACGGCGCTATATCAAACGTGAGGATGACCGTGCCTTCAGCTCCCATCTCGACTCTCTACCCCCTCCTTGCTCCCTCCCCTCACCCTGACCATTTCCCCCCAATGCTCGGGTCCTGACACAACTGTACAGCGCCTTGGGACGTCCTCCCGACGTGAAAGGCGCTCTATAAATGGAATCTTGTTGTTGTTGATGTTATTGTTTTCACCTTTAGTAGCACGATCGGTATGTGCCGGAATCTTTTTAATGTGCAGCATTACTGAGAGAGATTTTCGTTTCCTTTCCAATTCAGTCAGGTCCCATTGGAGACTCGTACTCTTGTGCAAATCCTTGGAGATTATGACCGATGCACAGGGGAATCACTGGGACTCCTTCGATCCTGTAATCTCGGATATATTTAACCCGTTCTGCAAGAACAGTAGATCATTTTGAACCCTGGAAACTATTCATCAACAATCCCCAATGTGCCTTTTTTTTACCCCCCTCAGAAACAACCATGGGCTGGTGTTTCCCCAGTGATTGCAAATTCTGATAATGCGTCACATAATAATTGTGGTCCTGATGCTAACAGGAGTGCTTTTAACGGGATAAAAACACAGCAAAGCTAAATTTTTAAGTCTTTCTAATTTTTTTAAAAAATCTGTGTTTACCTCTTGTTTTTAAAAAGAAAAAAACTAATTGAGGAAGCAATTTATAATAATAATAATAATAATCCTTGCATTTGATATAGCGTTTTTCACGTCTTCTAGACATCCCAAAGCGCTTCACAGAATATACTGTAAAGTGAATTGACTGTATATTTGTGGGCGAACGCGGCAGCCAATTGCGCACAGCAGTGTCCCACAAACAGTCGTAGATTGAAAATGACCAATTTATTATTATTTTTTGTTTTTGGAGAGATTATTATTAGGCTCTGTGTGGAGTAAGGAAACTTGCCCAAGGTTTCGCCCTCTGCCTGGAATTGAACTCAGGTTTCTCACTTGCAAAGCGAATGCTCTAACCACTGAGCTACAGGACTCCACGTGAGTCCTGTATAGTCCATGTTAAATGGATAGTTGGTTTAAAGATCTTTTCAATGGGGAGATACTATACAAATTTACATTTACCTGTATATAGGCTTTTCACATCGGGAGATTAAACTCCAAACTCCCACTGAAAGAATGTTGTATCTTTGGTCAAGAGATTAATATAAAGATAACTGAATTAGTATTGATGGATATTGCATATTCATTTGAATGTTGAGAAATTGGATATGTTGCAATTGCTTAAGTATAGCAAACATGATTTTTCTAACAGAAATGTTTTGCAATACATGGATGTACATATAATATGCCTTGTAAATAATTTTCTGTGGGTTGGAGAATTAAACCTTAGGAGAGCAAACATACAGTGTTGGTACCTTACCTGTCTCCAGATTGCTGAATCATGTATGTTCATTTGCCTGTTCCATGTAATCCTCTGATGCATCAGAAAATAGACTTGCAAAGATATTATAAAGCACTTGTTACAGAAAATGTTTGTATTGCATCTCTTTCAATTGTTACTGGGCATTTGTCCTTAGTGAGTCATTTTTCCAGATATAGCAGTTTTTTGATTTTTAATTACCATTTAAATTTTACAAGATTTGTTTTGTTTAGAACTACAGTATTGTTAGTTGAAACAAGTACTGTTGTTCAAACAGAAAATGCCTCCTCAAAATCTCACTTAAATTTAGAGAGTTTTTTCAACTGTTTTTTTTATTCTGCAGAATGGTGCTGTCGATTTATTGAAGGAACTCAAAGGCATACCTATGACTTTGGATTTACTGCAGGTAAATCTAGACTACATATTGAAGAAAATATTTTAATCCAGTATGACTGAAACAGGTTTTACACTCCCCCCTCCCCACCAAAAAAAGTAATGGAATTGATATTTCATCTGAAACAAATTGCAGCGTTGCTTTACAATGTTTCACTGTAAAATTCTGTACTGAACACTAATAAAGTTTCCTGAATGTTCCAACTTCCATACTAGTGTCTTAAGTCAGAAGCGGGGATGTCTCAGTTTTGTGATATGTAGTTATTTGTTTTATCTACCAACAATAGAGATGCACCAAGGGGATAAGGACAGGGAGCAATTTAGGGAAATATTCATTAGTAGAGAATTGGTACTAGGGAACCTGTTAGGACTAAAAAGTGACAAATCCCCTGGTCCGGATGGCTTGTATCCCAGGGTTTTAAAGAGGTAGCTTATGAGATAGTGGAGGCCTTATGTCTGATCTTCCAAAATTCCTTGGATTCTGGAACAGTCCCCATGGATTGGAAGATCGCAAATGTCACACCACTATTTAAAAAAGGTGGAAAGGAAAAGATGGGGAACTATAGGCCAGTTAGTCTCACATCAGTGATAGGAAAAATTTTAGAATTATTGATTAAGGGTGTGGTAGTGCGGTATTTAGGGGAGAAAGGGAAGTCATGTTTGACAAATCTCATAAGTTTTTTGAGGATATTTCCAGTAAACTAGATAAGGGTGAATCAGTGGATGTAGTCTATTTGGACTTCCAGAAGGCATTCGATAAGGTGCCGCATAAAAGATAAGGGCCCATGGAATTGGGAGGAGCATATTAACGTGGATTGGGGAATGGTTAACGGGTAAGAAACAAAGAGTAGGGATAAACGGGTCCTTTTCAGATTGGCGGGATGTGACTAGTAGAGTACCACAAGGATCAGTCCTTGGGCCTCAGCTATTTACCATCTACATCAACGATCTAGATGAGGACATCGAAGTTAATATATCTAAATTCGCGGATGACACAAAACTAGGAGGAAGTGTCAACACAGAGGACGACATAAAAAAATGCAGCGAGACATAGATAGGTTAGGTGATTGGGCAGGTAGGTGGCAGATGAAGTATAATGTAGGGATGTGCAAAGTCATCCACCTAGGTAGCAAAAACAGTAGAGCGGGTTATTTTTTAGAAGGGGAGAGATTGGAATGTATTAGCGTCCAGGGGGACTTGGGTGTCCTTGTACACCAATCACAGAAAGTTAGTCTGCAGGTGCAGCAGCAATTAGGAAGGCAAACGGTATGTTAGCATTCATTATGAAAAGATTAGAGTATAAGAGTAGGGCAGTCTTGCTGCAACTGTATAGAGCCCTGGTGAGACTGCACCTGGAATACTGTGCATTTTTGGTCTCCTTATTTGAGGAAGGATGTACTTGCCTTGGAGTGAGTGCAGCGTAGATTTATTAGGTTAGTACCAGGGATGAAGGCATGAGTTACGAGGATAGGCTGACCAATTTGGGCCTATATTCTCTAGAATATAGAAGAATTAGAGGGGATCTTATAGAAACCTATAACCTATAAGATCATCAAAGGGCATGATAGAGTAGAGAGTGGGAGATTGTTTCCCCTGGTTGGAGAAACTAAAACCGGGGGTCACAACCTTAAAATCAGAGGGCAGCCCTTTCGCAATGAGTTGAGGAAGAGCTTCTTCACTCAAATGGTGGTGAATGTATGGAACTCACTACCCCAAAGGACTGTTGATGCTCAGTCCTTGAACATATTCAAGACTGAGATAGATTTCTTATTGCAAAAGGGATTAAGGGATATGGGGTTTAGGCAGGGTCAGGTTATTAGCTGGAGTTAGATTAGAAGATCAGCAATGATTGAATGGCAGGGCAGGCTCGAAGGGCCGAATGGCCTACTCCTGCTCCTACATGTTATGTTATGTAACTTCTATTATCTAAAATAAAAATAATTGTAATTTTATATTACAGTCTCTTTGTAAAGTATTAAGGTAGATTGCAGTCAGACAGAAAATTGATGTCCTATAATTATTATTATTATTATTTTGTTAATGTATTCGATTTGTACTGTGTAAATCAACATCATGACTGCTGTTCAGGAGAGTTGACAATGTTATATAGGCAATCGGATTCTTGGTTGATGGGCTTCGTTTGAAAACTAATAGCTTGAAGATAATAAAGCCTATCTGACTGCAGTGGATCATTGCTGGTACCCTTTGAAAAATGCTAGCTTAAATAGTTAGTGTTGCTATCAAGTACTGTGGAAAGATTTCTGCTTTTTAATATCTACTCCCAATTCTCTTTGCAGTCCACACGTATTGGTATGTCTGTAAATGCTGTTAGAAAACAAAGCACAGATGAAGACATCACAACGCTTGCCAAGTCGCTCATTAAATCATGGAAAAAGTTGCTAGGTAATATTGTCTTTTTAATGCATCTTTGTTGTATTTTGACAAGTTCGGAGCAGAAGTAACAGCCATTAGTTGCTGCATAATCCTGTCATTGTGGACTAGTCTGAGACTGTATGAGCTTTAAATGCGTTTCGAACCATGGTTTCCTAAGTTTAGACATATGATTTGTTGATGAACCTTTCAAACAATGAGAGGTTTGGAGTAGAGAGGTTTGGATCTCATCTTCCAGAAAACCATCTTCTGGTTGCCAATTCTTTCCTAATCACTTAAATGATGTCTTCTCAGTTTATATTATAGCTCAATGACCCAAACTTTTTCTTTGATTGATTCTATATGTCCTCTCTTCAATGTCATTAAATCTTAATAACCACAATTCCCAATGTAGTCAGATATCTGGTCCATAGAGTCTTATTTCCCGTGACTGTAAACCAGCACAAGTCCCTGAGGTAAAGAGAGAATGTAATCTCGTGTTTAGAGATTCCACCTATGTAGAGAGAGAATGCATTGCACACTGCTTTCAAAGTTGGATCCATTTGTTGTTTTTTTCATTCTGTGGGAAGGCATGGAGTGTCCTTGAGCTGATTTCTGACACTGTCGGGCTGCAACAGCTGTGAGGTGGTTTTCATGGATAGAGAGCGGGTGAGGGAAACCTTGCTTCCAAAAATGACTTCTTGAAACTCTCCAGACCATTCCCGGTGGCAGGCCTCAGCAAACTCAGGTGACAAAGTTTAAAATGCAGTCCTCGCATCATTTTCACTACCACTCAGCCAGTAGATCATGGGAGATGGCCAAATCTGCTGAAGGAGATGGAGGTGAAAACAAAGTTGTGCATATTCTGTGAAGCGTTTTAGACATCTCGATGATGTCGTAAGGCGCTATATCAAATGCAAGGATTATTATAAACATGGAATAACTTGTTATAAAAGTTGTACATGACCTTGAAAATATGTTGCAATTTTTTCAAAAGGATCTAATGATCCATAAATAACAAAATATTTTGTTCCAAAAAAAATCAACACAAACCCAAAATATCTCTTGCCTGAGAATTTCAGATCTGAAAAATCCCATTGAAGTGGTAAACATGTTGGCTGTTTCATCTGCACTGATCTGCCCCTCACAAACCTTTATTCCTTGAAAGCCGTTATCGTAAATCGATGAGGCACCACAAATCCAAAATGAGGTGGGTTTGTTTTGGAGCGTGGCAAAGTAATGTCACACATGTATTCTGCTGATGAACAGTTTGAACGAGCGTGTAATTGCTTGGGTAACGCAACTTTTGTGTTACAGGAGTACTTTAAGTAGAAGTTGGTGGGGGGTGGTCCTGTGATATCCTGGGCCCTGGTTGTGTGGAATTCTCCCTATTTGCAGTGACGGCTGAACTCCACATCACTGGGCGGAACGTAGGTCTCGGCATTTGTTTGAAAGTCATGATCTTTGAAATGAATGTTTTTCAGATGGCCCAGCGGGAGATAAAGATTCAGAAGATAAGAAAAAGGAATCTTCAACTGAGTCCTCTTCCTCACAAAATAGCCCAGAACCAACAGAGCAAAGGTTGTTCGGGGCATCGGTTTAACCCTCCCTGCGCACTGTTTGTTCACTAAATCACATCTGCTCTGATCATTTCTGCTGCTCTTCAGACTATTCTCAGTTTCTCCAAGTTCTCCCAGGCCTCTTTCTCTACCCCTGGTAGAGGAATCCACAACGAGGACAATAAATCTTAAAATTAGAAAGATTAGAAGTGAGATCAGAGACTATTCTTCACATCTAGGCTTGTGAACACACTGCTCCAGAAGGCCATAGAGGCCGGATCATTTGGGATGTTTAAAAAGGAGAGATTTACTTGAGAAGAAAGAATCTTAAAGGGTCTGGAGAAAGGTGTTGAAATGGAAATAAAATATCGGCCATGATCTAATAAACTGGTGGAACAAGTTTGGTGGATTGTACATTGAATACATGATTTGCAGTCTGGCAATTAAAATAAAGTCCAAGTGCCCCCCATTCACAGGAACAATTAGACAATTCAGCCTCTTAAGCCTACTCCAGCATTCCATTAGATCATGGCTGATCTGTACCTCAAATCCAAATACTTGCGTTTGTCCCATATCGTTTGATACCCTGACCTAACAAAACTATCCACTTCAGTCTTGAAAATTTGAATGGATCCAGCATCCACAGCCTTTTCATTCAATATGCTATTCTCTACTTCAATGCATATTCTATTTATACAGTATAATATATAATAATAGAATAGAATAATATTATTAATTAGTATTACTATATCATATATACCCATATATATATGAAAAGCTTACACTGTACATAACAATGTAAAGTTAGTCTATATACAATCAGAGGCCTGAAATATTCACGCTATTAGCCGTAATACCATTGTGTTAAAAATGTAAGATTTGGAATATTCTTGAAATTGAAAGTTGCAGTTTTCAATGTGAGGTTCTCCTACGTGGAGTCCTGTAGCTCAGTGATTAGAGCACTCGCTTTGCAAGCGAGAGACCTGAGTTCAATTCCAGGCAGAGGACAAAACCTTGGGCAAGTTTCCTTACTCCACACAGAGCCTAATAATAATCCCTCCAAAACCAAAAACAATAATAAAATTGGTCATTTTCAATCTACGATTGTTTGTGGGACATTGCTGTGCGCAATTGGCTGCCGCGTTCACCCACAAATATACAGTCAATTCACTTTACAATGTGTTCTGTGAAGCGCTTTGGGATGTCCTCCCGACGTGAAAAGCGCTATATCAAATGCAAGGATTATTATTATTATGTGTGTAACTGTGGAAGTGCATGGGGTCAGAAAGGGAATGGAGTCCTATAAAACCTGATCAAACAGCTTCATGGCTGCTGAAGGCGATTTTATACTGAACACAATCTTACTCTTACAGCTCAAGTAAAAAACGAGAACCAAGGACGCCTGTTACTCCAAAGATGACCACGTTTCCACCGATCCCCATTACAAGCGACAGTGTTCGAAATAAGTGCAGGGAATTGATAGTAGCTGCTCTGCAAACAGACAGTAAGTCCATTTGAACTGAAGGGAATTATCAGTGGCTTATGTGCAATTGTTTTTCTGGATCCTGGGCAATAAAGTGACTACAACAGTCTTTCATCGTTGGTAAACTCAAGCTACAAAGTACAGGAGAATTGGCTGGTAAGAATTCTCCCCAGGATTGTGTTACCTGGGCTCCTTCTTGTACCTCATGTGTGACTCTGCTGAAGTCAGCAACTCAGCAGCGTGGGGAAAATAATTCCCTTTGTATGGTTGCCTGAGACGCTAACCTGCATGAAGGGCGCTGTATATATATATATATATATATGCAAGTTGTTGTTGCCCTAAGAATATTGTACCAGGATTCAACATGTAAATTTTGTATTTAGTTAGAATTGTTTTGTCTATATCTCTAAAGAAGCTGTTTTATTTTACAGTCCGATCAGTGTGTGAGTTTAACAGGGTAACAAATATAACTGTTTCTAATAAATAAGTATCAGATGGCTCTGAATGGAGCACTCAATTGCCTTTATTTCAGCAGTTAATCCCAGCTGCGATGGTCTCTGCTCACATAGTGAAATCGCAAATGTTCGCATTGGAGAAAATTTTAAAATCAAATTAGCAGAATAGCTCAGTCAAACATGTAGTAATCTATTGGAGCGGGCACCAGAACGCCTGCTGTCTTTGTCTTGACCTAACCACGAGTTGTCACTTCACCTTTCATGAACTGTGCCAAGTTGAGGCAGAGATGCTCAGTTCTCCTCCATTTGCTCCACCTGGAAGTCAGCCTGGAAAAAAAATGCCACTTGTGGAGATTCCTGCACGTATCTAGTGTGTGTGTGTTGGCAAGGGGCGGGTGCATAATTTGATCATTCAATCCACGACTTTGTGAGACACTGCACAATTGGCTGTCGCATTTCGTCCACAAAACATAATCAATACACTTTACAGTATATTGTAGTGATTTGAGGTGTCTCAGTGATAAGGCTCTATATCAAATGCAAGGATTATTATTATGATAAAGAATCCCATATTATCCAGTAAGTACTTCCCTATTTTTCCTGACCCATTCTATTTCATTAAAAATCCACTATGAATGCAGGTTGTTCAGGTATCAAGAGCATCAAGTCTAAAAAAATAAACTACTGTGTTCCTATTAACCCTCATCTTCTTTTCTTAGGTTATAAGGAAAACAGGCCAGAACATATGTTTGTGATAATAGCCATGCTATAAGGAACAGTGACCTGAACCATATCAGGTCACCTTTGAAAGTACAATTTCCCCTTTTGTGCACAGAAAATCCTATTGGCAGTTTGGAACCAGAAAACGTTGATTGTATCATTTGAATTGAGGGGAATTAACAAAATGCATCGGTCTGATCATCGGAATTAAGATTGGCTGCTTTGAATTTACTTGTTATCCAACATCCAATGTGTGCACTAGTAATTTATTACCAGTTCAGTATTCCCCAAGCACACGTAAACGAAAACTTTAGGCCAGTAAAAGCACATTTCAGGAACTAGCATTCTGCTAGAATATTGGCACTAGTTCATTTTTGGAATATTGTCTACAGAAAATATAATTAGTAAATGGAAAAGTCACCATTCAGACTTCTGTAATCAGCCTCTTTGAGAAGATTGTTTGCAGGGTGATTTTACATTTAATTTAACCCAACAGGTTTCTTGGTGTGCAGAGTAAACACCTCCTCCTTGCTTATTTAAATGCCGAGAAATACTGGGATCTAGATAAAAAGGTACACATGTTATGGATGGTTCTTAATCAGATGGCATTGGTCCATAAAAGCTCCTACAAGATCAACCCATTGTTGGGTGGGAAAGTTGGGCGGTGGGGGGTCGTCATGTCAAAAACAGTGCATCCTAGTTGCTGATTCTAGTACAAGTCTTTCCTAGTATTTCAATATTAAATAGATCATTCAGTTTACTCGTGGAAAGACCAGCTAGCACTTGCCAATTCTTGTTTCTCATCCCGTTTGTATGTTCATTGCTAATCTGTTCAAGATTGAAGTACAGATTATCCAACTTCTAACTTTACCTTTCTCTGCAGAGGACTATATTGCAATAGGTACAGACTGTGACCATTTGGCAGCACAGATTGAAGAAAATATCCTTTTAAGTGATTCATTAGATGAAATTTTACACCATACCCTAAAATCTGGTTGTTATGGGAGTTTGGTTATTAGGCATAGTGGGTTAAAATTCTGTTCATTTATTTCTGTGATTTAGTTCAGTCTTTAAATCCAGTTCAGGCTGATTGCACAAGAGTTTGGGGTAGATGTATTCCACCTGGGTCTAGATGTATTTATTTACAGGGCCTTTCAGCATGTCCAGAATTTGGCAACTTCTTAAATACATATTTAATTTTGAAGTCTTTGTTTGGAAGTTCTTTTAAGAACTAGAGACAGCATAGTTACAAAATTGAGACTGAATTCAACAATTTACCAAATTCCAGATGCTCTAAAATGTTAAGAAAATCTAGGCTGGGGTGCAATTTCTCCGTATTTGTCATGTGCATTGACCGGCAGATCAGAATTCCAGCACCATGAACTGGCAGTTCCCTTTAACAAGCTGTGGTTTCGAATCATAGAGTATTGCAGTACAGAAGGAGGCCATTCGACCCATTATGCATGTGCCGGCTGTTTTGAAGAGTTATTTTGCAACCAATAAAACTGACCATGTTGGATACTTCCCTGCTAGATGTTAAGTCTGTTCAGTAAATGTGAATTTAAACAAGATTCTTTTGAATTGAGTGCTGTGAAACGTTTTAAGAATAAGTAATCGAAATGCGAGACTGCAAGTCTCATTGTTCTAGGTATTGAGGCCTTTCAGGAAATGTATACTTTCTACATGTCAAAACAAATAAATGTCGAGTGAAATTGCTGGGCGGTGGGGGGATAAATTTAGTATTGTATTACAAACTATTTCTAAAATAGATAACTACAAAAGCTTAGTCTAAATTTGGTGTCCTATTTTGAAACAGAAATTGGAATAAATCTGAATGAGATGCAATTGTTTATGTGAAATGAATTCTGACTCATATGGTTCCAATCTTGTTAGGAATTTGACAGGGAGCCAGTGGAATTAAACTGCAAATGAATGTGGGGGCTTGTAAGGCAGAGACATCTGGAGTTTGCTGGATACAGCTCCTTAATATAATGTATAAGCATATATCAAGAAATACCCAACACAGATATGAAATATAAAAACCGAGTCAGAAGCAGGATAGCCAACCTGAAAGACTCAAAGAACCCCAATTTAAGGAAGAACGTTCTCTGTGGAAATATTTCACCGGAACGGATTGCCAGCATGACCGCTGAGGTAAGGCTATTTTATTACATTGTCATACTTTTTTTTAAAAACTTTCCATAAAATGAAGACCCGTTCGAAATATCGTTAGAAAGCATTTAGTCAAATGTACCAAATTGTTTCTGCCGCAAGCCTGACTGAAAAGACATTGCAGCCCTCACCAGTGAGAATGGCACCAGTTGTAGAAAGTGTCTGAAAACTAAACAAAAACTACACTTAAAAGGATATGACCAGTAGGACAGTCTAGAATATTGGACTGCAGATGTCTGTGGACTTACCCCAGGAATTTAGGATTATGAATGCATCCTACCCCTCTGCTTTCAAAATCCATCTTAAACCCCATTTCTTTGTTTGCGCCTTTGCTCGTCTTCCTCCTACCCCCTCCCACCATCTTCCACTTTGCTCAGACTCCCACTCCGTCTCTGAAGCACTTTTAAAAATATTTTCTGATGTGAAAGGCACTAAATAAGTGCAAGTTGTTTAACATGTCCCTAAAGATATTGCATCTAGAGGTGTTACACAGTTACTCACCGCTAGGTGTTGCTGTGTCACTAACACTGGAGGAATTGTGCTCCTAACGGGTGTGAGTTGTGTGCACACCAGTGCTCTGACTAGATTTTGAGATTTTAGCGACCTGCAAATTGTGAATAATTTACTCAAAATATTTTCATCAGTGGTCATTACAATAATTAAAGAAATATGCAGCAAATATGTTTTGATGGAATTATTCTTTCACTTACCAGCTGGAATGAATTCCTCGTTTTCAACAGGGCTCTGAAATTAGTAATGGATTCCATTTTAGTTTTGATTTCTTTTTATAAAGGAAATGGCTAGCGACGAACTAAAAGAGATTCGGAAAGCCTTGACAAATGAAGCGATTCGAGAACATCAGATGGCAAAGACCGGAGGAACTGAAACTGACCTCTTCAGCTGTGGAAAGTGCAAGAAGAAGAACTGTACTTATACCCAGGTAACACCTGACTGAGCTACTCAAAAGAAATAGTGGAAATAGGGGCAACAATGTTAATCCAGCCTAATTTATTACAGTATGAAGCATGCTGTACACGTGAAACTGCATTGAAAGTCCCTATCTGTTTTGTGATCTCCAAAGATCATTTTTAAATCAAGCAGTGGCCAGTTTCATGAGGTACTAGATGGCACCTGTAGAATTATATTTCAGCATAGGGTGACCCTGTTATTAATCACTTCACTAGAGCGTGGCTTTGCTTATAAACACTAGGACTCCAGTGGGCCTGTGATTACTGGATACATATACGATAAGGTATACGTTCACCCTGTCCCACCAGAAGCCATGTCAGCAGCAACTTAACGAAAAAAGCCAAGTCAATGTGAATAGTTTTCCTTTATTTGCTTTCTCTCCTCTCCAGGTTCAGACACGAAGCGCTGATGAACCTATGACTACATTTGTTGTTTGCAATGAATGTGGCAACCGATGGAAGGTACGTTTACACATTTACACAAGCAATTCATTCCAGATTGAAGAGGTTTTTGGAGATCCCTTGAGGGATGGATAACTGCACGCTTCACTATGATGTAATGCAAGCTGCACAGATTAGCAATGTCCTTGGTCTGTGCTGAATGACACAATCTCAGCTGGAGGTGATAGTGGTAATGGTAGATATGCTACAAGCAGCCTTCATGACCCTTGGTTATATAAGGGAGAAAGTTAGCCAGGTTTAGTTGTCTCCGGTGGAAAGCGCGTACGCCAGACAAGGATAGAATTGCATTAATCGACCAACACTAGGTGACTGGTAACAGAGTCCTGCTGTTTACAGTGAAGCAGTACCTCGGTGAGAATCTGCATCTCAGCCAAACTCTTTACAAAAACAATTAAAAACTACAGGAAAAGGGAATATTTTGGTGAACGTAAACTGATACTTTGAGGACATTTTATTTCCGTGATGTACCGAGTTTTGCTTATTTTACTTAGCGCGGTTCATGGCAAATATTTAAAGCCTATTTTAAAATTTCCATCTTTTTCAGTTCTGTTAAATAAACTCAGAAAACCACGGTTGGAGACGCAGGACCAGTACGATGTTTTTAAATTATAAAGGATCATGTATATTAAATCTGTTTTGTTATAAGATGGTTGTGTAAGTAAATATTCCTTGATGCAAGCATACGCATTTAAATACTCTGCTAATCTTTTACACATTTTAATGGAGTTTTGGCTATGATCAATGTGCTGTAAGGGAAATTGTGGTTCACTTTCATCCATTTTGAGCATTCTTTATATAATTTAGTTTTCAATAATAAAATGTCATTGCCAGTATGGGCTGAAACTGTCCACAGATTTCTTTTACATTCAAACCCACTGCTGTGTGGGTTGTTTAATTTTGCCAAAATGCTTTTTTTTGTGCATTGTAAAAAAAAATTGTAGCTTTTTTCTATTAAATCTGTTATGGACCAGTATAAAAATTGCATACAAACCAGCTGGATGGTTCTCACTCCTTGTAGTTGTAAAGACTAATAAATTATTAATTTTGTGCCTGAAATATTTGGTTTTGGGGGAAAACATGTTCTGGCATCACCTCCATCTGAATTGAGCATAATAATAATAATCCTTACATTTGATATAGCGCCTTATCATGTCGTTATTGAGACTTCTCAAAGCGCTTCACAGAATATACTGTAAAGTGAATTGACTATGTTTTGTGGACAAAACGTGGCAGCCAATTTGAATGAAATGAAGTAGCTTGAAATTAGCAATGCACAGAACAACTAGGAAGGTTACTAGGAAATCACAGATAAGGAATGTAATTTATAAGCGTGCAATTTTCAAATCGTACAGGTCAACAACAAAGCGGCTTGCAGACCATACACAGCCACCTACCTTATAAAGGATAATACAGTGCCTCAGTCTGTCGTACAGCTTCCATTTGAAGTGCTTTGAACGCAGGTTTGTGTTTGTGATATACTCCAGAGCAACTGTGTCTTGAGAATACTATCAAAGCAAGTGACAGCTGTAAGTGCACACAGCAAGAAAATACTGCAGCTCTGTACACAGCTGTTGGTATGACCAAAGGCCTCTCTGTCCTCCAATAACACCAGCACTCGGAAAGCAGACAAAAAATAATAATAATAATCCTTGCATTTGATATAGAGCTTTTCACGTCTTCGAGATGACTCAAAGCGCTTCACAGAATATACTGTAAAGTGAATTGACTGTATATTCGTGGAAGAAAGGCAGCAGCCAATTGCACACAGCAGCGTACCACAAACAGTCGTCGATTAAAGTGACCAATTTTTGTGGGAAGATGAGACGATAAAAGGACATGACACATTACAGACTTTTTAATCCTAGAATGTTCAGACTGAAGAATGAATATAATAATGAATGAATGAAATGAAGGAGGTCATTCGGACAATTATCTATGATGGAGTTGCCTATCCTAATCCCAATCCACTGCTCCTTCCTGATATCACTTCTTATTTCCTCAAGTGTGTATCTAACTACATTAAACACTCATGGACTGTAATGTGCTCCAATTTCCTACTTACCTCCTTTTTTTAATGTTTCTTGTCATTTTTCATCCCAAATGTCTTGCACAAGAAACTGTTAGTTGATCACTACGTAACAGTTGCTCAAATAAATAATAATAATAATTGTTACATTTGATATAGTGCCATATCAGTCTTCAAGAGTCTCAAAGCTCTTCACAGAATAAACTGTAAAGTAAATTGATTGTTTAAAATGGAGAAACAACAAATGATTCCCTCTCAACCAGTTCACTGCTTAGTAAACAATTGCCTCATATTGGATTGTGGATAATTTCTGTTAAAGGCACTTTCCTAGTTGAGTACTTGATTCCAGATTCTAGATAAAAGGAGATTTTTGGGAGACACCTACACAATTTTGACACAAGGGCTTAATCATTTGGGCTCTTTTATTGTGAAGTTTACTTTTAAAATGGCACCGTTCTAATAAATGGCCAAACCAAACAGATTGATCGTTTTGAAATCTTCTTGGTTAGTGAAATAAAAGCAATGTACTTAGCACACTGTTCTTTTTTGCCCTTGGGGCTCAGTCAAATCCAGCCTAGGATTGATTGAATGAAAGTTTCCTTTATTGTCCAGTGTAAGACCAAATTCCACTGTCCACTCCCTGCACTTAAATTGCTTCTAATTTGGCAATCTCAAGTTAGAAGGTGGAGTAAAATCAGAAATGTCACATTGGTACACTAGGGCTGTTGTTCTGAGATGGAGCTCAGCACATTTGCTGGAACGAGGAGTGGGAGCTTTACTCATTGGCCTTGACTGAGCTGCTTAAGGTAACAGGAGGTGATTGGAGTCAGCGCAAGCACAAAAGTCAGCAACAAAAACCTAATAGAACACTTGCAGAAAGAACATTATATGAATTACAGGTACAATTATCCCAGTGTTCTCAATTTAATCATATTTAAATGAAATAATCACAATTTCATTGACTTCATCAGCTGTATTGAGTTGATTTTGAACAAAATGTACCAAAAAAATTGTGAAATTACATTTTAGTTGAAATTAGAAACTGGGGCAGGAACATACTATTCCACATTTGTGTAGCTAGCCACTTGTTATGCTCATCAAGGTAAAGGACATTAGTAGTGGAAAGACAAACATTCTCCACTCCAAGTGTTCAGTGTCAGTGTCAAGCATCCCAAATCAGATGCATTGCAATTAAACAAAGAGTAAATGCCCCTCCACTCTTCAACAATTCCCTCAACTTCAGACTCCTTCATCAGCGTACATAAGAATGCTAGACAAAAAAAGACCAAGGGTCCATCCAATTCTCCTTCTACCATCCTGGCAGTCACATGCATATGTCATGTTCCAAATTATAAGAACATAAGAACATACGAATTAGGAGCAGGAGTAGGCCATTCGGCCCTTCGTGCCTGCTCCGCCATTCAATAAGATCATGGCTGATCTTCTCACCTAACTCTGATTACCTGCCCTATCCCCATATCCTCTAATCCCTCTATTTTTCAAGAATCTATCAGTCTCAGCCTTGAAAACGTTCAAGGACTGAGCATCTACAGCCTTCTGGGGTAGTGAATTCCATGAGTTCACTACCCTCTGAGTGAAGAAATGTTTCCTCAACTCTGTTCTAAGAGGCTGATCCTTTATTTTTAGACTGTGACCCCTGGTTATAGATTCTCCTACCAGGGAAACAGACCCTCAGTGTCTGCTTTATCAGCCCTTTAAGAATCTTATGTTTCAATAAGATCCCCCCTAATTCTGCTGTACTCTAGAGAATACAGCCCCAGTTTATTCAGCCTATCCTCATAGGTCAGTCCCCTCATCCCAGGATTAACCGAGTGAATCTACGCTGCACCCCCTCTAGGGCAAGTATGTCCTTTTTTAAATAAGGAGACCAAAACTGCACACAATACTCTAGGTGCAGTCTCACCAAAGCCCTATACAGTTGCAGCAAGACTTCCCTACTCTTATATTCTAAAGTTTTCGAAATAAACGCTAACAGCCGTTCGCCTTCTTAGTTGCTGCTGCATCTGCAAACTAACTTTTTGGGACTGGTGTACAAGGACACCCCTTCCAGAAAATAATCTGTTCTTTTATTCTTGCTACCAAGGTGAATAATTTCACACTTGCTAACATTGAATTCCATCTGCCACCTACTTGCCCACTCCCCGCGCCTATCTATATCTTGTTGCAATCTTTTTGCATCATCCTGAGAGCTCACTGCTCCCTAGTTTAGTATCATCCGCGAATTTAGACACATTCAATGTCCTCATCCAGATCATTGATGTAAATGGTGAATAGCTGAGGCCCAAGCACTGATCCTTGTGGCACTCCACTAGTTACATCCTGCCAATTCGAGAATGATCCGTTTATCACTACTCTCTGCTTTCTACCCGATAGCCACTCTTCTATCCATGTTAATATTTTCCCATTAATCCCGTGGGCCTTGATCTTGAGTAACAGCCTTTTGTGTGGCACCTTGTCAAATGCCTTCCTAAAATCCAAATATACCACATCTACTGGTTCCCCCTTATCCAACCTCCTGGATACATCCTCAAAAAATTCTAAAAGGTTAGTCAAGCATGACTTCCCTTTTGTAAAGCCATGTTGACTCTGCCTAATCTTTTTATGGTCTTCCAGGTATCCCATAACTACGTCTTTTATTAAGGACTCAAGAATTTTCCCTACAACTGACGTCAAACTAACTGGTCTATAGTTTTCCCTATTTTCTCTCCCACCCTTCTTAAATAGTGGAGTTACGTTTGCAATCTTCCAATCAATGGGAACTTTTCCAGTATCCACAGACTTTTGGAAGATTATAGACATGCCATCCACTATCTCAGTAGCCACCTCCTTTAAAACTCTCGGATGCAGGCCATCCGGTCCAGGGGATTTATCCTTTTTAAGACCCGACAATTTACCTAGAACCATCTCTTTACTAATGTTAATCTCCCTAAGTTGCTCGCTAACATTGTCTTCTTGGTCCTCTATTTTTGGTATGTTTCCAGTGTCTTCTATGGTGAAGACTGTAGAAAAATACTTGTTTAATGACTCTGCCATGTCTTTGTCCCCTATTATAATTCCTCCGGTCTCTGCCTGTAATGGACCCACATTCACCCTCGCTAGCCTTTTCCTCTTTATATATTTGTAAAAACTCTTGGAGTCTGTTTTTATGTTCTTTGCTAGTTTGCCCTCGTAATCTATTTTCTCCCTCTTGATCAATTTTTTGGTCCTCCTCTGTTGTTCCCTAAAGTTCTCCCAATCCTCGGGTTTACTACTCATCTTCGCTGTTTTATAGGCTTTTTCTTTTGATTTGATACTTTCCCTAACTGCTCTAGTTAGCCTCGGCTGCACCACCTTTCCCATGGCATTCTTATTCCTCAAAGGAATATGTGCTCGTTGGGAATTTTGCACTATCTCCTTGAATGTCTGCCATTGCTGGTCTACCGTCAAATCTTTAAGTTTAGTCTCCCAGTTTATTCTGGCTAAATCCTCTCTCATACCAGCAAAGTTGGCTCGATTTAAATTGAAGACTTTTGCTTCAGACTTAACTACTTCCCTCTCTAACTTAATGCTAAATTCCATCATTATGATCGCTTTGCCCTAGAGGAGCCTTAAGTTCCAGTTTGCTGATCAGCCCTGTTTCATTACACAAAACAAGGTCTAATATGGCTTGTTCCCTGGTCGGCTCCTCAGCATATTGATCTAGAAAATTATCTCTAATACATTCTATAAACTCTTCTTCTATGTTACCTTTCCCAATTTGGTTGTCCCAGTCTATGTGCAGGTTAAAATCACCCACAATTAGTGTCTTTCCTTTGCTACATGCTCCACTAATCTCTTGATTTATACCTTGAGCGATACTTTGACCACTGTTTGGGGGTCTATAAACTACTCCCACTATAGTTTTCTGCCCCTTGAAGTTACGTATCTCTACCCATACTGACTCTACATCTTGCTTTTCAGATTTAAAATCTTTCCTCTCTACTGTTTTTATCCCATCCTTTATTAGCAGGGCCACTCCCCCTCCTTGTTT